GTGGTAGTGGTGGTAGTAGTGGTAGTAGTGGTAGTAGTGGTAGTAGTGGTAGTAGTAGGAGTAGCAGTAGCAGTAGTAGTAGTACAATATTAATAATACTTATACATATGTAGCAGAATGTGAAACACAAATCACGTTCACAATATTGGAAATTATAGCTTGTTTTCCCTATAGTGGCTCTCACTGTAGTTTTCCCTACTAACTGAACAAAAACTGCGCTTGTTTGTTTTCGACAGTATGTGGATACTAAAATGAGAAACATTTGGAGAAGAAGAAGAAGAAGAATTATAATGGTAGGTAAATTAGTAAATTGTGAATTTAGTAAATTAAATTTCAACGTTTGTATTGTAATGTTTGTATGTGAAAATCGAGGTTAGTGATAATCTTGATCTAGATCTTGTTTTTATTTTAAACAATAAAATAAAAAATATTGTATAATTCAAAAAAATGAATATAAATAATTCAATTATTGCAAATATTTTTTCTCCATTTCAAGAGTACATAAATTCTGAACAAGATGTCAGAGAGGTATGTATTTAAATATTCTTAGATAAAAGATATTAGATACTTTTTTTGTAGGAGATACGTAAAATAATGAAAGATATAGAGAAACCATTAAGAGAAATAACGACTGTTCTTCAAGTTATTCATCATGACCAGGATATAGAAAAAAGTACTAAACAAATTAATTTAAAAAACTTGTAAACTTCTGAGCTCATATTACATAAATTTTCATAAAAATTTATTATTCAAGGCATGCAGTGAATGTTTCCTTACTATATATTTTAAAAGGCGGTGTTAATGTTTTCACATTAATAGCGACTTTTAATAAAATTTTGTGAGAAGTCTACAAGAAAAATTAAAATTAATATTTAATTTCTTAGTGCACAGGGCATGTCTTAAAGCCAGAGAACTTTTCGATGATGTGCGAAAAGGTTACGAAGCTCTTAATAGCACTGTACCTCCTGGGCAATATTACCGATACAATGATCACTGGCGTTTTGCTACACAACGTCTTTGCTTCCTTGCTGCCTTGATTATATTCTTAGAGAAAGGGATTCTAATAGATAAAGAAACAACATCTCAGATATTAGGAGGTAATAAAAATAAAAATGTAATAAAAAATATACTTACTAGTAATTTTCACAGTTAACGGCAAAACCAATATTCATCTGGATTTGGAGGACTACTTGATGGGACTTCTGAATTTAGCTTCTGAATTGGTAAGTGTATAAAGCTAATTTATCATGTAAAATTTAAGACATTTTTTAGGCAAGATATGCAGTAAATTCTGTAACCTATGGTGACTATGAAAGACCACTGCAGATATCAAGATTTGTTGCAGAATTGAACGCAGGATTCCGGCTACTGAACCTAAAGAATGACTCATTAAGGAAACGATTTGATGCCTTAAAATATGATGTGAAGAAAATAGAAGAAGTTGTATACGATTTATCCATAAGGGGACTTGCTCATAATCCTAGCACAAGTGAACCCGTGAATATGTAATGTTTTTATAGGTAAAAAAATATGCTTCACATAATATCATACGTCACTGTTTTATAAAAAAAAGTATCTTTTACTTTCTGTTGTATGTTTGCTTTGTTCTATAAATATTTCAAATAATTTGTAGTTAATTTATTGAAACATCTGATATTTATTTATGTAGAACTGAACTATTTATTAATAGTTAAAGCACTATTAGAAAAAAATGTTTTGTTTTTTTCAGCTATATTTAATGAGTATTACTATTTTATTGTAGAAAGTAATGTAGTTGTGGCTGTCACTAGTATTTTATAGAGATGCACGACTTCAAAAAGTACTGGTACTGGCGTATTGTATTATTTCACTTAAAAGTACCAGTTCTGTGCAATACCAGATGAAAAAGTATCAGTACATTCACAATTCGACATTTTATCGAAGATTTTAAAAAAACTTATGTATGCAATTTTTTAAATAAATATAAAATATAAACCTTTCAAATATTACTTTTAATAAGACCAAAGTAAATCGCAAGAGATTTCTGGTCTGACTGCAATCGAGGACATTCTGTGTTTTAGTCTTTTTACAATAAAGCAGCAAAGGTTTTAGCTTTTTTGGTTATTTTATGTCTGCCTATTTCTGTTACTGTAGTTAAACACCAACCTGGAAGTTTTTCCGAACCCCCAATTTGTCGTCGGGTAGGAATCTAACTTATCTAACTGTTCAGACAAGAGACGCCCACTAAAATGTAGACGAGCATCCCCAGATGGTCACCCATCTAAATACTACCTGCAATCTATGTTGCTTGACTTCGTATCAATGACATGAATACCAAGTTGCTAAGCCGCACTCACCCTAAAAAAGTAGTTATGCCCCTAACATTCAAGGACAGCGACAGCCATATTTTCATGCAACTGACTGAACTGCAATTGCTAATCACACGTACTTTAGCTATTTACTGCTAAATTGTATGCCACTTTTTCTTGGAAAGTAGCCGGTAATCAATGATCTCTACCTCAAACATTAAGGTTAACTTCACTACCAATAGGTTGTCAGGGAATGTACCAGATCGTATTGTATGGTAAGCTGTAATACCGATACAAAATATTGATTATGGGAATGAAAAAAAACGGTACTCAGAAAAATTGTATCATACCGTGCATCTCTAGTATTTTATTTTATAGTATAATCATATTTTCTACAGGCAGTTTAGAACTTATTAACAGTTTGTCTGTTTTGAGTACAATCTTAACTTTTGTAAGTTTATCCTGTGATGTGTTTACTGAAAATAAATATTTTTTTCAAACCTTTATTGTCATTTTATTATATATTTTTTAAAGAACTGTAGTTGCAGAAATTAAGTAAAGACATTATTTATATCAAGATTTAATCCTGACTCATTTGTAATAATGCCAGCGATGCACTAAAAAATTAAACGTTTTTAAACCTTTGTGTGGTGTGAAAATAGAAATGTTTAAACTTATATGAGAATTGAAGAAAATATTGAGTGTTTTTTTCTGTAAAACAACTATTTTAATAAGGGCAGGATTACTGTAAGTGTCGCAGTATGCAGGGTGAGTGAACTTTAAAATTCGTCTATGTTTCAGATATTCCCAGCAATACAAAAGAAGCCCAAATAACGCATTTCCTGCTGTAAAATAGGAATATAAAACACATAGAGCAATTCCGCTAATATAAAAAGAATAAACTCAATTTTGCACCGACCTTTCCAATATTTCTCCAAAGCTCTGTAAACATAGTGATTGCCGCCAAATTGTCCCAGAGACATCTCAGGTAATGCAGACAAGCAATCAATGCATGCCTCCAACCACGAAGAGGCAACATGGAAACCACCGATGTTTTGAAAAATTTCAGATGTTTCTAAAAATCACCCACCAAGCCGACTCAATGAGATAATAGCTGTCAAGAGTCCCTGTCCCTTCGGATGATGACGACAGCATATACCATTATCTCTCTGAGGAATGCAAGGAGCGTCAAAACTTTTCGCCCCATTTACTAAAAAGTGGACAAAATTACAACTCAGAAAGAGCCGTATTCGTCGAGGATGTATTTTTTCAAAAAATTCTGGAACTAAACCAAACCACACATCAGGCCACCTAGTGGAATCCACCCAGCCAGTATGCGAACACACCCAGGCTTCCTGCAGTTATTCAACCAGGGCACAGTTGCTTAGCCAGAATACTCGACCTACACTTAGATTCGTATTGCAACCATCGCATTGCCTGCACTGTATTACCATTAAGAAAATCAATAAAACCCATGAATTTTTAAACCGCATTTCGATTTATAATTTTCCTAAAAATTATCAAACCAAGTACTACGCACACATACACAGCTTTCACACTACAATATTTACAAGCACTTAAAGCTTAACGTACCAACACTAGAGGGTACAAAGACAGTGATTTTCAAACACTAGGATAGCAGACCCGCCAGTGATATACAGGATTTAGATGAAAACGCATTACACAAAACGTTTAAAGTAATACAAACTATTAATAAAATCAAGTGCCAGTGCCCAGAGCACGTCTAAGGTCAAAGAAAAACAAATCAGAGCGTGACCCATCAACCTGAAGCAAAGCTAAAACATACAATGGAGGAAGAGCGCAAATTTCCGCGTCTTTCCCTGGTATCCCCAGTGGTTAACGTTAAAAGGGAAACACACGAGTTACTTTGGAATCACCTCATTGGCGAGCAGGCGACTAACATCCCAGCCCCACAGGTGAAGACTGATCCAAACAGGTACGCTCCTTCCAGACCAATTAGGAGGGTTACGACCCTTTCAATATGCCGAAGGGAGATGAAAGTAGGTCAACTGCACCGCAAGCTAGTCACACCGAATAAAATATTTTTTATTGGACGGTGCTCTAGGTATGTTATTTTTCAATAAAGTTGTGGACCCAAAGTTAAATAATGCTGATTTATATTAGGGATATTTCTGAATATTTGTATCATATAAGTATGAATTATTGGCATCAAATTTTAAATTCTATTTCTGGATTTTGTTGCGGATTGTTAGAAAATTGAATATCTAAACTAAAAGAGGTATTATGAATTCAAAACATGTGTCATGGATTAAAAACTCATTTTTTTTAAATCCAAAAACACTTAGTTATCCATCTAATAGACTAAGAGCCGGATAGGAAAATGTTCCTAATCATTTTAGGCACCGTAAGAGTCTATGACTTAATTACTACAACCCAAAAGAAAACATTTGAGCACTATGCCGTCAATTCTTCGTGGCACATGGGTTGTCAGCGGAAAATCAAACTTTCCAATTTTGGGCCGGGTAAATTAATTAAATAAAAATTGACACATTTCGACCCAAGACAGATATTAGAAAAATAAGACATAAAAACCTTATGCCGTACAAAAATAACGGTTCTGGAAAGAATAAAAAATTTTCATTCCCCAAATATTTTCACCAATGCAAAAATTATAGAAAACTGTACGGCGTGCCTGATTTTAAATAATGATATATATTTGAAAGTTATATTTTACTGTGCTGTACCAATGCACTGGCTTTAAGGGCTTTTAACCCTTACTCAACCCTTACCTTTTACGTAGAATAAGGAAAATTATTAGAGGCACCCTAAAATTAAAAAATTTAGAAAGCGCTATATAAAACTATACCTCAAGTCATTGTACCGTACAATGTTTATGGCACATGAGGTCACAGTAGGGAAATGAATTTTTCGCTCAAGGAGTGGATATTTTAGAGAAAAGTTGTGCCCTTTTCAAATTCATTAAAAATTAACTATTAAAAAAATATTGCCGTATAAATATCGTGCAAAAGTTTTTAATATGTGTACGCACATCTACAGTTCAATTTGTTTGTTTTGCCATTTATTTTTTATTTTTCAATTATGCCGTATATATTTTGAATCCAATACAACAAATAAAATAAAATTGTCGTAGAATAACATAAAATTTTAAAAATAATAATTTTTATCATAATTTTCTTTGAAAAACAATTTATTTAAAAAAAATTATTAATCAAACATGAAAATGGTGCATTCTGTAAAGGTTGCTATGGTGATCACGATAAAGATTTCAGAAGTGAACTCGAAAGTGGAGATGAGGACGAGGACGAAGATTAAGTTTTCATATGTATTAAAATCAACAAAAACAAAATAAAAAAGAGATCAACAAGATTTAATTAACTTTTCATTTCATTATTTTATAAAATAATTTTCTATAAATAAATTTTTTGCCTTGGAAAATCCTACTAATTATGGAAAATCCTGAAATTAAAAATAGACAGCATCCACAATTTTGTTAATATTAAACCTTGAATAATTTAAAACAGTAATAAAATTTAAAATACATAGTACCATAGTAGCTGTCAAATGGATTTTCCAAATTGCAAATATGATAAACAATTTTTTTTATTCACGGCCAATTGTTTTTTTCTGGTGCCAATCATTTTGTACGGCACTTTTGTGCCATTCAGGAAATAATGATTTTTATCCAAAAAAAATGGCGTTAACTTCAGAGCACTCACAATTATGTAATATATTTTTTTTAGCCTAATATTTTGTACGGCACATATTTTTCATTACTTTAGAGTACCAGTAAAACTCTGAAATCGATGCCGTACATTTCTCAATAATTTTTTGGAATAGAGGTTGAAATGAGAAAATTTGCGTCAGGGTAAAAGCTCTTAGAGCCAGTGCATTTGTACGGCATGGTAAAATATAACTTTAAAATACATATCTTTATTTAAAATCAGGCATGCCGTGCAGTTTTCTATATTTTTTTATTTTTGTACGGCATAAGGTTTTTATATCTTATTTTTCTAATATCTGTCTTGGGTCGAAATGCTGTCAATTTCTAGTTAATTAATTTACCCGGCCCAAAATTGGAAAGTTTGATTTTCCGCTGACAACTCATGTGCCACGGAGAATTGACGGCATAGTGTTCAAATGTTTTCTTTTAGATTGTAGTATTTAAGTCATAGACACGGTGCCTAAAATGATTAGGAAAATTTTCCTATCCTGCTCTTAGTTTATAATCTCAGACCATATTTTCCATAAATTCCTTGTGTGTGATATTTAAGAAAACTTTTATTTAAGTTTCAGTATTCCCTTAGTAATTGAAAAAACTTTGTCTTTAGATATAGTCGTAATACAATACTTTATTATCAATAATAAAAATAATATCGGCACAATAAAGATAATCTGTCAAAAAAAACGTGAAAAAATTATTTGTAAAATTATATGAGTACATGATATAAAGTTAAAAATTAAGTTTTAGTTACTGTAATGTATAACAATAATAAACCTGTGCAATACAATAAAAAGCAATATTCAATCTTCATTAGATATTTTTCCAATTTATTACACTTTATTATCTTGTTGCTGTACTATATAGCTTCTTTTCCTTCAAAGTTAGATACAGTAGTAAGGATGCCTAAAATTAAATTTATTTGACAAATATAAAAAAAAATTTCAGATAAAATATAAACTAATTTGCTATAATAAATTGTATAAATAATTATTTACAGTTTGTATCTTGATTTAGTTGCAAAGGTACCTAACAATAAGTGCATTAGTGCAAAGATTTTCAATTATAATTTTCAGACTAATACCTAACTCGTCAGAGGGCACCTCTACTTATATGTTATTAAAGTCATTGTCCCTATATTTCAATAAAGTACTCCAATCAATTGCCAACTTTAAAATATAAGTTTCAATTTTCAATATTTTTAATAATTTTTATATCAACATTTGATTTTCTTATACATATTATGAAAAGTTTATTATGCAAGTGATGAGCACAATAGTATGTTTAAGAATCAAGTACTTGGTTCTCGGTTACTTTTAAGAATCAAGTGATTATCTGAGTACTGAGAATCGAGAACTGAGTGCCGGACGGAAGATTAAACGTTGAATAAAGAACATTATAATCGTGGCGGTATATTTATATTCTTTCTGTTTACAAATCGTCCGTTTGTTCAAGAGAGTGCTATTTGATAACCAACGAGAACTAAAGATATTCAAATTCATTCGATATGCTAAATCAGTACATAAAAATTCATTCAAATATTTCCCACACTCCATAATATTTGCTAACTATCGAGAATTAAAAGTATTCGAGTACTTTCAGCCGATATCCGATAACAGCGAGTACTTTTAAGAATCGGGTAGTACTAGATTTTCAAGTTCTCCCATCACTAATGCGGCCAGGTATAAAATGGTCTATTATACCATCTCATTGTGAATGATGCTTACTATAGATTATATTTAGCAAAAAATTAAATACTCACGTATGCATCGATAGCAGCATATTTTTGTTGGTCAACAGACAATGGAAATTTATGCCATTTGCTCATTCTCACTTTTTTATTTTTATCGATTCTCATTTGAAGCTAAAAATAAATTAGAAATAGAAAGTTTTTAATTGGTGTAAAATAATGTCTTACGACATAATCAACTAGTTTCTCTAAACTCCACCTCTGGGTGACAGGAAGGACAGAATTGGCAAATACCCCTATATCGATGCAATTTTCTATGAGTCTATCAGAATCAAATCCTACATAGTCTCTAGCTAATTTCCGAACATCACTAAAAAAAGATAATCATTAATTGTAAAAGAAATTTATGTGCATTTGTTGCAGTTTCTATTATATTATTTTTCTAGATAAGAGAAGTAAATTTTTAACTTACTTTTTAACATTATTTCCAGCTAATCTTATGTTCGGATGAATGAGAAGCTCATTTAGGCTTCTGGGTAAGTTCTTTAACTGGCTAACATGCAAAATATAACAGACATTTAAATCAGGACTTATCTGAATAACAGCTGTCCTACCTGACCCAGTTTTGAAACTGAAAGGCCATTCCATGTCAAAACCAAGAACCATAACATCTTTGGATTTGTTTGCCGCTTCTCTAAAAAATATCAATTTACTGTTATAGAATGGTCAAATATATAAACAAAATATAAATATTACTTACAATAAATTGTCACATATTAATGCACAGTCTATTAAATCTGCGTGATATTTTAAATTTCCATTAAATTGTATGAATGGTCGATTCTCAAAATCAGCTTGCAGTTGTTGTTTCTCGAGTTCAGTTCTCTTCTAGAAACATTTAAAAGGCTAATGTTTTAAAAATGTTTACAGATTAGTTACAAATAAAAATAAGTCAATAGCTAACAAATAAATCAACTTAAATCCATTTAAATACATTCAATATTCGATACAATTAGAGGTGCAAAGGATGTACCTGAAGTTCCGAACGTTCGTTTGAACGAAAATGAAAACCCATAATATCACGTTTAATCGTACTTAAAATGATTTTACCACCTATATTCTGGCTTCTGTAGACGAAAACAACACTTCCCCATCATCAGAAGCCACCCCACATATTAACCACCCTTAAAACTTAGTTACATGTATTTTAGAAAATTAGCCCCGTACCACCCTATATTTGACATAGGTTGTTAACATTACTTTTATACTGATTTTTAAAAAANGGAGGTTAGACGTTAAGGGATGATATGAGATATGAATATTTCTAGTTTTTTTCAATCTACTCTTAAAATATAATTTTTTTTTTCAGGGAAATAGGTTTTCTTAAATTTTTAATAAAAAAGTTATAACAATTTTAATTTTTTAATTGTCAGTTTTAAACAACACTAAAACAATTTGTTTTTGAATTTTTTTTTTCCTGTGATGTTCAGGTAAGTGCAAAAATCTTTGAATTTTATTTAGCTCCTATGATATTGGCACAAAAAAGATAAAAAATTATGTTCACTATTGTCACACTAATGGTACAGAAATCCTGGACAACTCTTATGCTTATGACAAAGATAGATTATTACGTTCGCTATGGTCACACACATTACAGTGTTACCTGTATCACTGCACATGCGTCACATCTAAATTTCAAAGTCGATGGTAAAAAAAAATTCGAAAGCAAGTTTTCATTATTTTAAGGAGGTTCGATAGATCTTTTTTGACGGGCAGGCAGCGTGGGAGGGAAGCTTATGCTTATATGCGGGAGTTTCATTGAAGTACCAACCTTACATAAACTAATTTCAGCGAACTAAATATAATATATGCGAATGAAATTTATACAACACATGTTAGCTCGCATATATTTTTCGTGATTAATGCACAGCAATTAACTTTTTATTTGAATAAAAGTGTCATTAAGAGCTTGTAAATCTATGGGTGAAATCTGACAACATTGCACATCAGTATGGCGTAGTGATCAACTGTCAACTGTGCTTAGCGCGTATCGTATACCGTAAACATGAATGAACATCCAAGATACAATGGAAAAGTAATAACTGAAAAATAATATAAAAGGCGTATGAAACAGATAATATGGGGATTGATGAAAAAAAAGTAAAATTTGCAAACCGAGAATCCATATGATAACTATCAAGAAGCTCAGCAGTGTTGGGCATTAAACAATTAAATTTTCAATCAATTTATTAATTGATTAAGAAAATAATTGCAATTAATTTATTGGAGGTAAAACTAATTGCAATTGAACTATTAATTGCAAGTTGTAATTAATTTATTTGGGTTTATCTATATTAAGGTAGTTCCTTTGAATAAAATCTAGGCTTAAGACACGTACGCAAATTTTTAGTTCAATAGTTAACACATTGACTGCGGTACATACCTCGGGGGGTATGTAATCATTATAAAAAATATGCGAATCTCAATAATCACATTTTTACTGTATCTTGTGAAAGTTGCAGAATCTGTATTTTTAGTTTTGTAGTTAGAAATAATGATTTTTCTATTTTTTTCTTTTCAAAACTCTTTGCGAATGAAAACATTAGTATCCCAGGATATATAGTTTCAGATACATGCAAGTTTATAGCAATAATTGTGTTATTTTTAATTTTATAGAGGTCAACTGTAAAAAAAATACATATCCCCAGGGATATGTACCGCACACAGAAGAAGTTTTGTTACATATCCCCGAAGATATGTATCGCAGTCATGGACAAAGTACATTGATATTATGTCGCAGTCAACGTGTTAAGTCATAGATTAGAGAAATACCTATATGTTAAAAGTGATTAAGACAAATACTAATTTAATTCTCTCTACGATACCTTATTTTTTAAATATGTACCAACAAAAATTGATTATAAACAGATGTATGAATTCCCGCCAATATATTTTTTAGGCTAACTGGCTATCTGAATAATTTTTTGAGGTACATACCTCCTGCTACTGTTGCAAATTAGGAAAAAACTTACTGCTTGTTCCTCTTTTTCAGCAGAAGTCAATCTTGGGCGTAATCTACTGCTAGTTAAATATGAAATATCGAATTCCATTTCATACATAAAATGTTTAATAAAATTGAATACAAAATCTAACAGAGCACGAATACATATTACAAATAGAACATAGAACACAAAACACAACAAAACTAGGAATAGCAGGATAACACTTCCGGTGTGCATTCCACATATCATATGTTGGTGCGTTCCGTAATAAACTCTAATTATAATTGAAATAAAACCTAATTATAATTGAAAATATAAAAAACTGACCTTATTTCTTATTTCCATTACTCAGTCACATAAAAAATATATAAAATTTCACACGCCTGATGCCATGGCATGCGTACCATGGAATGGGCCATGGTATATACAGCTGTCGTGTAAAATGACTCTTACTGAAATTCCACTGAAGCTAATTACAGAACGGACCCCCGAGCATTAGAGATATATTGGAACGTCACATAGCACACGTACGGTGTTAATAGGGCAGCGTTATTTGTCGCTAATATGTCTTGAAAATATGAGTTATTGAACATCCTAGGGTAGTTGTTTGATATTGATGACCTTGATTGGTTTTGTCGAACCATATTCTATGTGCCTAATCGTCGTCGGCTTTTCCGACATCACCCGAAGCACTTTAGCGAAACGGTAAAGCATAACCCTATACATTCGTAAATTACACCAGGCCAGGCGTAATCGTTATTACGGTAGCGCGACAGCTGTATGCAACTGTGCATGCTTAGATGTATAAATAACGCATGCACTAATGCAAATTGTCGCTCCAATATCTCTCTAATAACACCAGGCGTTATCGTTATTATGGCAGCGCGACAGCTGTATCCAACTGCGCATGCTTAGATGTCTAAATACCGTATGCACTAATGCAAGTTGCCGCTCCAATATCTCAGTTCAGTGCGAACAGCCGAGCTGAGCGGACGTGCTTGTTTGTGAGGTGAAGTGATTGCAACGAGCAAAATCTACCTGCCTTTATTAAGGCTACCTGGAAAGAATCCCTTTCTTTCCTTTTAATCACCGACCTAATCCCCGGCTAAGCATAGAGGCCGTCGGCATCTTTGTTCAGGTACCTGTCCCGGGGTTATGCCCAGGTAAGTTTTAACTTATTTATCAGTTATTTGCATTACTTTAAAATACATTTCTTTAAAATTGCGACCCCCGACAAACAATATACCAGACAGACAAATACACCAAAAGACACGTACGCCCCCGT